ACTAGGACACCTAGCATGGCTAGGCATTTCGAGCAGACTTAGATTAATTTTTAACATTAAATCCTTACAGATTATGGTATTAAGGCTAAGTGACTCATCATAATTTGAGAGTTTAGCAATGTGAATGCTTTTGTTTTGGCACAATGCAAGGTGTCTATATTTGAGTATCATAGGCAAACTTATGACTAGTTAGGATTTATTATTTTAAGATTAAGATTAGTATTTCTGGGTTTATAGTCAGTGGGTGAGTGAGTGTAATTTTGAACCACCAGGTGGTTATCATGTAGTTAGTTGTCGGGGTGGATCAGGGAGATAAGATGTTTTCTAACTGTAGTTTTGAAAGTGATGAATGTGTCTGCAGTTCTAGAGTTTTCAGGTAGGGTGTTCAAGATTTTAGGTCCTTTGAAATACTTCTTAACATCTCTTTGACTCATTTGAGTCTTCAACTTTCAGTTGTGACCCCTTGATTTGTGTCCCATCTCTGGAACATCCTGTCTCTGTCAACCTTATCTATTCCATGCAGTATTTTGTATGTCGTTGTCATGTCTCCCCTGACCCTCCTGTTCTCCTATGTCGTCAGACTGATTTTCCTGAACCTTTCTTCATAGGACATTCCCCTTAGCTCTGGAACTAGCCTTGTTGCAAACCTTTGCACTTTATCTAATTTCCTGACATGCTTGACCAGGTGTGGGTTCCAAACTGGTGCTGCATACTCCAGTATGGGCCTGACGTAGACAGTGTACAGAGTCTTGAATGATTTCTTACTGAGGTATCGGAATGCTATTCTCAGGCTTGCCAGGCACCCATATGCCGCAGCAATTATCTGGTTAATGTGTGCTTCCAGAGACATGCTCGGTATTATACTCACCCCCAGATCTTTCTCCTTCAGTGAGGTTTGCGGTCTTTGGCCACCTAGCCTATACTCTGTCTGCGGTTTTCTTTGCCCTTCCCCAATCTTCATGACTTTGCATTTGGCGGGGTTAAATTCTGGGAGCCAGTTGCTGGGCCATGTGTCCAGCCTGTCCATGTCTCTTTGTAGACCTGTCTCATCTGCATCTGATTTAATTCTCCTTATTAACTTCACATCATCTGCAAACAGGGACACTTATGAGTCTATCCCTTCCATCATGTCATTCACATATACCAAGAAAAGCACTGGTCCCAGGACTGACCCCTGTGGGACCCTGCTAGTCACATTCTCCCACTCTGATACCTCATCACGTACCATGACTCGCTGTTGCCTCCCTGTCAGGTATTCTCTGATTCATTGCAGTGCCCTTCCTATCATAGATGCCTGATCCCCTAGCTTCTGCACTAATCTCTTGTGAGGAACTGTGTCGAAGGCCTTCTTACAGTCCAAGAAAATGCAATCAACCGACCAATCACTCTCATGTCTTACTTCAGTTACCATGTCATAAAACTCCAGTAGGTTTGTGACACAGGATTTGCCTTCCATAAATCTGTGCTGGCTGTCATTTATAACCTTGCTCCATTCCAGGTGCTCCACCGCTCTCCTCCTGATAATCTTCTCCATGACTTTGCATACTATACACGTCAGTGACACTGGTCTATAGTTTAGTGCCTCATTTCTGTCTCCTTTCTTAAAGATGGGTACTACATTTGCCATCTTCCATACCTCAGATAGTTGCCCGGTTTCAAGGGATGTGTTGAAGATTGTGGTTAGTGGCACACACAGCGTCTCTGCTCCTTCTCTAAGGACCCACAGAGATATGTTGTCCAGTCCCACCACCTTTGAGGTATCAAGATCACTTAGCTTCTTCACCGCCTCCTCGGTTGTGTGTATTTCATCCAACACTTGTTGGTATATTCCTTGTTGGTGTACCCCCTCTGTTTTGTCTTCCCAGTGTTCCTTCTGCCTCCACTGTAAATACTTCCTTAAATCTCTTGTTGAGCTCCTCACATACTCCTTGGTTGTTTCTTGTGAGCTCCCCACCTTCTTTCCTCAGCCTGATTACTTGGTCCTTGACTGTTGTCTTCCTCCTGATGTGACTATTAAGCAGTTTCAGGTCAGACTTGACTTTAGATGCTATGTCGTTTTTGTACTTCCGCTGGGCCTCCCTCCTTATCTGTGCATACTTGTTTCTGGCTCGTCGACTAATCTCTTTATTTTCCTGGGTCCTTTGCCTTCTGTACTTTTTCCATTCTTTAGCGCACTTAATTATTGTCTCCCTACACCTTCGGGTAAACCAAGGGCTCATTCTGGTCTTCCCATTATTTGTTACCCTTGGGAACAAACCTTTCTTCTGCCTCCCTGTATTTTGTTGTTACATAGTCCATCATTTTGTTTACTGACTTTCCTACCAACTCTCTTTCCCACTGAACCTCCTGCAGGGAGGTCCTCATACCTGTGTAGTCCCCTCTCCACTTGTAGCTCTACAATGTATTCAAAGCTCAGAACCATGTGGTCACTAGCTCCAAGGGGCCTTTCATATGTGATATCCTTAATGTCTGAGCTATTCAGGGTGAACACAAGGTCCAGTCTTGCTGGTTCATCCTCCCCTCTCTCTCTGATAGTGTCCCTAACATGTTGGTGCATGAGGTTTTCCAGTACCACATCCATCATCTTGGCTCTCCATGTTTCGGGACCCCCCACATGTGTGTGTGTGTGTGTGTGTGCATGTGCACGTGTGGTCACCTATTTAATTGTGTGTCTGTGTTTCTGTGTCTGTCTTCTAGCCACAGTAACATGATAATTAAACAGTCCCCCTCTTGTGGGTCACTAAACATACATTGAAGCATCAGTTCACATGTATCTGAATTGGTGGATGTTTCTAGTTTTTTAGGGAATTATTGATTTTTTCTTAGTACAAACATACAGCATTTGGCTTATTTTAAAGAATATATTTTTATGTTACATAATAGGAAAAGAAATTTTGTTTAACACATTTCTGTGGCATACATTTGCCATTAACTTTTTCACTGTTGCTCTCATAGATCTATGTTATTGAAGCCAGTGTCACTCATGTAGTTTTACATTTTAAGCACAGCATCCTCAAATATGCTGTGAGCAGTAAATTTTGGCCTAGACATGAAAGAATGGGTCTGTGCAGTGAGTGTGCACAGTATAAAAAAATCATGCCTGACATTTCTAGAATGGTGGTGTGTGTGTGTATGACTGATCAGTTAATTATCCACTCAGATCATTAATGGAATCCAATCCAAGAACCTGTCTTCCCATCCCTGGATAACATAGGATTCCTTAACTCTGTCTAGACAGGGCAATTTGTATGCCCAGGTGTGGTCATATATCTGGTATTCTGAAGTTTCAGTGAATGGACCTTCCATGTAGGCAGTTACTTATTAACATAACTATAAATGCACATTTAATAGTACTGGCAGTGAGTACTTACTGCCTGATGTGTGTCGGCTATTAAATCTCATTAGAAACACAGTGATATACATATGAGTCACTTTTTACACCCAGACTAGCGAGACAGGATAATCATCTTTTCTGTATTTGTACATGTGTGTGCCTCCACGTTTGTAATGTGACAAGTGAAGGCTAGTGTTCCTTACTGTACAAGCCTAGTGGTATAACAAGTGAAAGGGTAAGTTGCCCTCTCTTAAGCTAGGCTTGTCCTGTGATAAACCCAGTGTTACAAGTCGAGGTTCAGTTGCCTCCACCATACACAGATTTTTTTGTGACTGGTCAAGAGTGGTGTGGGTAGGCTGTGAGCTGCCCTTGGTTGTGGCACTGTGCTGTAATGTATAATCTTGTAGCTAAGTTAATGTAATGCTAGGTCACTTAGTATGTAGTCTAACTTAAGTACTAATAAGAGAGATAGAGTAGGAGTCTGTTAATAAAAGACTATACATATACATGTAGTTAAATTAATCATACAAATAAGGTTGTAGGAATTTTAGGTGTGGCAAACATGTATGCTTACATAACATGTTACAAGCCTCTTTGGGGCACTACTCTCTCACAGCATCTTACATCCCCCCTTCCTCCCAAACTATCTTCCTTCTCAAGATTTAAGGAGAATAACAATTTTCAATTAAGGTACTGCTGATTTCCTGCACCACATGGTGCATAATGAGTAAAAGCAAACCTCTGATGTTTGGTATTATTTGATAGAATGGAAGACACTAGTGAAATAGAAATGATTTTTGGTTTGTTTCAGGACTGGATGTAGCTTGAAATATGGCTCAAAGTAGTGGAAATATTAAAATTTTTTGGTGATTTTCCTTAGGAAGGGTAGGGCCTCTCAAGTCTGTTTTATGGGTTTTTACTAGGTTTGCTTCAGTTTTTGAGATTTCTTAAACTATGACCAATCATTCTGGGTTATGTTTTATTATCTGAGAAATAGGATAAATCTTTGATTTTTTGTGTGATGATAGATTCATAAATATAGGAGAGAAGATATGGTAGGTTGCTTTACAGGTTAGAATGCCTTCAGTATGATTTTTGGATTGTTTTTAAATTTGAATTTGTTAAATTTTATGTAAAATTGGCCAATTACCCACTTCTCTGCACTTTATAAAATAGTTCTTATAATTGAAGGGAGAGTTTCTTGCACTTGTGCCTGGCCTGCCATCTTTACCCACTGTGTAATTCCGTAAGTTTTCCATTAAATTCTGCATTTTTAGTGTCATTACCTTCTGAAAAAGATTTTCTACTATTTCAGAAGAAAAACTATTTTACTTTCTGAAAAATTGCAACATTGTCAGGATTTTTAATTTCAAGGATTATGACTGTGAAAGGGCTAAGCAGGTAATGGCTGTATCATTAACATGATATTAAAACTAATATTGAATAGAAAGTAATTAAATTACTAAAATCTTCCATATTAAAGTGATTTATGCCTAATTTTCAATTTCTCCAGAAAGAACAATAGCTTATGAATATACACACTCCATTTAAAATAAAAAATACTCCAAAAGTAATTAATGTGCAGCTGCAATATTTTTTCTAAAATGAGGTGCAATAAAAGCAAGATAAGTTGTAAACAGGATGAAAGTGGAATACTTCTTTGTAGTACTGTAACATTAAGCATCTTTATCATTCATTCTCTGTCGTGTATTAGTGTAAAATGGAGCTGTGGTTTCTCTGTTAAAGTAGCAAGTAGAATCAGAGTAGTTTACCCCTCTTTCTCTGCTAATACCCTTGCCACGGATACCCTCTTCCACCCCTTGCCTATAGTATCTGCTCTTGAGTGCTGGGAACCAGTTAGTGCAGTTGAAAATAATGATGAGGGCCTCTGCTATAGCCAGTAGTGTGGGAAGAATCCATGTAAAGTGGGATAAGTGGCTACAGTGAAAGGATGGCAAATGTTCATTGGATGAAAGTTGTGGGAGTGCCTCCCGGTGCCGGGACATTACCTTGGGCACAGTGGAACCAGAGATTTTAGATACATCTTGTAGCCCATTGGATACTTCATTAATATTAGCATTTTGTGATTCAGTCGCTGTTACCTTACCATTGATATCCTTAAGTCCAGCAAATGTTACTTTACCATACACATCTTTTATGGATAAGGTGGATTTTGGACCGAGTGTTATTGCTTGATCAAGTGAGGACTTGATATTACTAATCCATATATTTGCAGATGCTTCCAGCACATGTATACTGTTCTTACCTAATGTATTAATGGTTACATTTCTCATCAATAATTGTGATTTACTATCCAATTTCAAGCTTGTTAAGGTATCAATCTTGGAATCTTCAAGTTTAACTGTGACCTTATGTAAAGGTTGAAGAATGTCTAACACTCCCACATTTGAATTTATAATATTAAGAAATTTAAGCTTATTATGACAGACAACTTTCTGTGCTGAGGATCCAGCCAAGTCAAGATGACTGATATAGCCAGGGACTAGGTTAGTGCCTGAGTTTACCAGTTTAAGTGAGAGGTCTTGCTGTAGGCAGTGTATGGTGCTGTTGAAGGTCACCCTGGCTACATTGTAGATAGCCAGATTAACACACCCATTGCTCACCACTACCAGCTCTTGCACGTTGTGCACAAAAATCTTGTTGACCTGATTTACTTCCTCAAGAATTGCAGTCTGTGGAAAATCAATTAAGAAAATACTGTATGTTAATTCTGCATAAAAAAGAATCCAATAACAAAAATGATTATCATTATGAGAGAGAGAGCCTGTTAACAAGGTAATTTATCCAGTACAGTGTAGAAATAAATGCAGAGTTGATTATCAAGGTCTTACTATTTTGACTAAAGTGAAAATGACAATCCTCTTATGTGGAGAGAACCAGCTACAGTAGTTAGTGTACTCTGAATTCTTTCAGATATATTACTTTGTTCAAAGTCAGTAAACCACTCCATGTTGGTTAAATACACTCACATATGCCTGCCTAATGTCCATGCCTTCAGTTTTCAACACTGTCCTTACATCACTGCTCTTCATATACATTGTACAGGGTCTACTCACCCAAGATTTATATACCATTCCAGTGTATCTTGTTCATTTTTTCTACAAGACCATACCTTTTATACTACCCCACAGTCTTCTAATTTCTTCAATCTATATCTGACTGAAATCCAGTTCTTGGGGCACTTTGTATATATCTCTGACTGAAATCCAATTCGTGGGGCACCTTGTATATTAAATGCAAAAGAACGGGTAGTCATTCACTCTTTATTGGCAGTTTAGTCACCCATGAAATGCATGTCTCTGACACTGAGGTCAGTGGTCACATTGTGTGGTCATTGTGTGGTCATACCTGCCTAAGCTCCTGGGAGTTAGCATGGGCTGTTACCAAGTGCCATGGCTTGTTGTAGTGTTTTAGAATCTCAGGTTCAAGTGTTGAAGAAGGAGGTTCTACTTCTCCAGGAGGAAAATAGGAGGCTGAAGCTTCGCATAGATGGGTTTGGGAGTGAGTGTGAGATGGATTTAGCTGGTAAGGAGGAAATGGTCACCAGCAGTGAGAGTGGCAGCCGCTTTAAGTGGCAAGTGGTTCACAATTCAGGAAGAAGGAAGATAAGGAGAGTTAATAGAGAAGATGTGAAGGTAGGAAATCGATTCTTTGTTCTCCAGGATGAGTGTACTTCAGTGGTTAGTGAGGTTGAAGGTACCACTGATTCCCCTGCTAATCAAGGTAAGAATATTCTAATTGTAGGAGATTCTTGGGTGAGATATATGGACCATGCTTTTTGTAATAGAGATAGAAAGGTCAGACAGAGAGTGTGCCTCCCAGGAGCTGGTGTTGGTGACATAGTCAGCAGGGTGGATAATATTAAGTCAGGTAATGGGAACAAGCCCATTATCTGTCTTAGTGCTAGGGGTAATGACATTGGGAAGGGCAAGAGACAGGAGCTGCTGGATAAGTACAGGTCAGCCATAAAAGTAATCAGGTCTAAGGGAGGGATCCCAGTCATATGAAGCATCTTGCCTAGAAAGGAAGTGGGCAATGAATGGATGTCTAGGGCAATTGGTATAAATTGCTTGCTGGACAGGTACCACAAGGAACTTGCAATCCCATTCATTGATAACTGAGACAACTTCTATGGCAAACGTGATATGTATGCAAGGGATGGGGTTCATCTCTCTGGGGCTGGAGTGGTAGCATTAGCCTATTCGATTGAGGGGGTAATTGATGACTTGTCTAGGACTTTAAACTGATAGATTATAGAGGTATGGGTGTTTGTGGGAAACAATCAAGCTGCAGTATTAGGGTTGAAAACAGCAGATATTACCAGGATACCTCAGGGATATGTTTAACTCTTTAACTGTCGCAAGCCCCTTTCTGAAACTGTCATTCTGTCTCAAAATTTTTGGAAAAAAAATTATTTTTTCTTATGAAATGATAGAGAATCTTTTCCCGATGGTAATGATACCAAAAGTATGAAATTTGGTCAAAAACTCACGGAATTCCGCTCCCATGAAGTTAGCGGTCTCGGCGACAAATACACATCTATGATTTCGCCAACTTTGAGCCCTGTTTTTGGCTAATTCTGTTGTTCCAGTTGACCAAACTCATAGCTATTTCTTTAGAACTCTACATTTTCTAACAGTTGAGTACAAGAAACCGCCCATTTACCTATTTGAACTACCCAATCAGGTGGTCAGAAATTGACAATTTGGCCAATTTCACGCAAATTAAAAAAGATGTTAATTTGAAAATAGGGTATAGAATAAACATTGTAGACACTCTTGGCACTAAAATAACATATCCTCTGTTCATTAGTCACGTCTGTAGGCACCTCTTATATTACTATTGCTTTCTATTTTGATTTTTTATTCATACTAAAAATAAAAAATTTACTGTTATGCAGATTACTGCATTATTGTAAAAATGGTATAAATAATATCAGTGCACCAGAGAGAGAATATTAGACTCCCCAGTTGACATGTATTGGACGTGTGGTGTGATTTACTTACTCCTGAACATTGGTAAAAATCGAACATTTCCGCTACTTTGAGCTCAGTTTCAAGGTCGTTTTCATCGTGAAACTAATCAACATCATCTCTATTTCTGTAATATGTTTTCCATTTTATTACTTGAGACCATGAAAACTAGAATACAACGATAAATACTATATGAAAGTAGACCTCAAAGTCGGCATTTTAATCCAAAAAAACGGTCAGTTTTTTTTTTCTCATTATGCACTGCGTGCTGCAGGATTTTTTTTATGTGGTGAACACTGACCACACAGACCTATTCTCTCACATGTGGGCCTACCAGCTTTCTCCTGCTTGATTTGAAGCCGCTAGAATTTACGCGTATAAATACGTCCAAAACGGTGGCTCTTAAGACGTATATATATGACCAAAACAGTCAAAGGGTTAAAAGACAATATTCAAAATAAAGTTGCTAGTAAAGGCAAATCAATTGATCAACAAAGAGAGATAGTAGAGGGCAATGAGTGACTAGCTCCCTTAAGGTTTACTATACAAATAGTAGGAGTCTAAGAAATAAGATTAATGAGCTAATATTACTTGCAAGTGCAGGTAATATAGATATTATTGGTATAACAGACCTGGTTCAACCTGAAAGATAGAGAAATGCCTTCTGAATGCAACATACAGGGTTATAAACTATTCCACACTGATAGGGTCAACAGGAAAGGTGGTGAGTGGTGATGTATGTCAGAGAAAATTTAAATTGTTGTCTTAGACATGATACAAGATTAGAAACATCGGACACAGAATCTGTTTGGCTACAGTTTCTAGAGGGTCATGACAAATTAATTTTGGGTGTGATTTATAGGCCCCCAAACTTTGATAGTGCAGTAAGCTGTTATGGGACAAAATTTATACGGCATCTAGATATGAAAATGTTGTGTTAATGGGAGATTTTAACTTTAGACAAATTAATAGGAACAGTGTGACAGGAAATCTTGAGTCTAGTGACTTTCTTGACATGGTTCAGGATTGCTTTTTAGAACAGTTTGTGACAGAAACAACTAGAGGAAACAATTTGCTTGACTTGGTTCTTGCCAACAAAGAATCACTAATTAATAATCTTGAGGTTAATGTTGAGCTTGGGGAAAGTGATCACAAATCACTTAGTTTCAATATATCATGGAATTATCCAGATAACTGCAATCAAATCTGTCCCAGACTTTCGCTTGGCTGATTTCATGGTACTGAGAAATTACCTGGGTGGGCTAAATTGGGATGACCTGACTATGGGTCAGGGAGGTGATCATGGTTGCCAATGTGACGTTTTTCAGAGCATAGTTCTAGCTGTCCAGACAATTTTTGTTCTGAGTAGGGAAATAAGATCTAACAAAAATGATCCCAAGTGGATGAACAATAGATTAAAACATTTCATTGGTCAAAAGAGAGACATATATAGGCATATCAAAAGAGGGGACGGGCAGTTAAGAAATCAATATATTCAATTAAAGAGAGAAATAAAAAAAAAGGAATAAGAAAAGCAAAAAGGGATTATGAGGCTAAAGTTGCAAGGGATTCGAAGACTAACCCAAAAGAGTTCTTTCAGGTATACAGAAGTAAGATTAGGGACAAGATAGGCCCACTTGAGAGTAACTCAGGTCAGATCACTGACAGTGATAAGGATATGTTTGAAATTTTCAATACTTCATCTCAGTTTTTACCCGGAAAAATACTAGCAAAATTCCTGAAATAATAGATTATGTAGAACAGGACGATAATAAACTATGCACAATTGCGGTAACTAGTGACATGGTCCTCAGATAAATAGAGAAATTAAAACCTAACAAATCCCCAGGCCCTGATGAACTGTTTGCAAGGGTGTTAAAGGAATTTAAAGAGGAACTTAGCATACCTTTGGCTAATCTTTTCAACGTATCACTACAAACTGGCATAGTGCCTGATAAGTGGAAAATGGCAAATGTAATATTTACAAGGCAGGTGACAGGTCCTTTGCTTCGAACTATAGACCAATAAGCCTTACCTCCATAGTGGGGAAAATTTATGGAATCAGTAATTGCTGAAGCAATTCATAGCCCTCTTGATAGGCATAAATTGATTAATGAATCTCAACACGGTTTTACAAAGGGGCGTTCCTGTCTTACAAATTTACTAACTTTTTTCACTAAGGTATTTGAGGAGGTAGGTCATGGTAATGAATATGATATTGTGTATATGGACTTCGGTAAGGCTTTCGATAGAGTTCCACATCAGAGGCTATTGAGGAAACCTAAGGCACACGGAATAGGAGGAGAAATATTTTCCTGGGTGGAGGCATGGCTGACAAATAGGCAGCAGGGAGTTTGCATAAATGGGGAAAAATCAGAATGGGGGCACGTTACAAGCTGTGTTCCGCAAGGGTCAGTGTTGGGCCCATTGTTGTTCACAGTTTACATAAACGACATAGATGAGGGAATAAATAGCAACATAAGCAAATTTGCTGATGACACCAAAATAGGCTGACCAATTCATTCTAATGAGAACACTAGAGCACTCCAGGATGATTTGAATAGACTGATCCAATGGTCAGAGAAGTGGCATATGCGGTTTAATATAGACAAATGCAAAGTTCTAAATGTTGGACAGGAAAATAACCATGCGACATATAAACTAAATAATGTAGATCTTAGTACTACTGATTGCAAACA